GTTCCATTAACTCTACTCGATATATTATATGTAGTTACTTATGATATTAGTGCGGTAAATTGGTTATTACAAACTAGTAGACGACTTTTAGGCTTGCCATAGTCACGAGTTTGTAAATACCAATGAGGGCTATCGCGTATGAATCCGCCGCTAGAGGCGCTAGTGTAGCGTGAGGTCTCCGAAATGTCAAATGTTATTGCTTGTTGGTTGACTACGCGGGTTTATTTCTAATTATAATAATGTTGTGAATAATTGGTAACAATCGGCTTAATTATGGCAAATATGAGTTATGTGGCAATGAATGTCAGTTATTAAAAATTTGATCTTAGAAAAATGATTATGTTCCCATTTTTTCCGAATAAAACGGAACTGCGCGTCACTGTGGCATGGCCTATTATGTTGAGGATATGGTTCTTTTGTGTTAAAATACGATCTAAATGTAACCTTTGATTTCATGTGCGTATTAATAAACTTTAAAAGTTACAATTTAGGACCTCACTCAACAGTGGCGCCATCTGGTGAGACAGAAAACGGTAGCCCTTATTCCAAGCGATAGTCATACAACGTTTTTCAACACATTTGCGAGAACACAGTGTAGGTACCTAATTTAAGTAATCAAGCTAACTTTTTCTAATAAGGAAATAGCGCGTATTTCCAAGTGGCGCCACGTGCGTGTGGTGAAAATTAGAACTACATCTTTCACCTTTTTTTCTTTTAAGTATTAAAGTGAGGCAAAGGGTATTTTTTTCAAGGAGGTTCAATCGAAATTGAAAAAAAAACCGTAAAGATAAAGCACGGCGCCCATGCATGGGATCGTGCGGTAAAATGTTTACCACACGCTCTGTTGTATGGCCCGTAAATTTTAACATTCGAAAAATGTATACCATCTCCGTAAATCTATTTTTATGAGCAAATGTGTTAAAAAGTAAATGACGTCCCTTTTCATAACAAAACGTTTAAAATAATAACAACGCTCTCATGATAATTATAAAAGTAGAAGATTTAGCAATCGGCAAACTATTATGTAGACTTTTTGGAGGGATCGGAGAGCGTCTCTTTAGCAGTTTTGTTTTTCTTGTTAAAAATTGTGTTGTGGCGGATGTTAGTGTCTAATAATGGTGGATTATTAACCACTACGTGTTCGGGAACATGCACAAGTGTTGGCAAGTGAAACAAAATAGCGGAAAGTGTCTTTCGACGTTCCCTCAAGAAGTCCACGGGGAGGTTTCAGTAAATCCCCACACATTTACTGAAACATAGGGAAAGGGGGATTGACTTGACTGCCACTTACTTTGACTTGATTTATTACTTTGACCACGAGTGCTATAGAATTTGTAAACATTTTAACACTTCACATTGGCTAAATGCACAAGCCGTGCGAAGCCATTTAGGAAAAAAGAAAAAACTATAATGTACATACTCATTGAAAGTATATCTGTTTCTATTTCTTCGCGATAGCAAAACAATGAGTCAGCACTTTATGATACATTCAATTTGATAGATGGTTTTGACTGAGACGAAGGACCTTCTTAACTTAGAAACACACCTGACTGGGTGTTAAGTGGCTCTCATTATAATAACCCAACCGGTTTTCTGGTAGTTTAAATTAACAAACTAAAACGTAAAACTGCAAATATTAAATTATAATCTTATTTCAAGGAAATAAGGCTCGAAATTGAATGTTATATATGTTTTAAAAACATCTTTTATAAGGCCGAGGAATTAGGAGGGAAAAATATCGGCTGTATATGCCATGACTAAGATAACAATGTTTTATTAATTTTGGTGTTATTGAGAAAAAATAAGATTTACTGTAAATGAAATGAAATGAAATTCATTTATGATTTTATTTATCTTTTAAACATTTAACTGCTAGATGTTTAAATCTAAAGAAAAGTTTACTAGAAAAAAATGCCTTGCAGCTTAAGGCTAGAAAAATTTCGACGCGGCTAATAGGGCCGTGGTAGCATAATGGTCAGTGCATTCGCCCGGATAGCGAAGGATGCGGGTTCGAGTCCCGTCCGCTGCCTGGTCCGCGTGGATTTTTTTCTAGTAAACTTTTCTTTAGATGAAATTCATTTACTCACACAAAGCAGAGAAGATACATTTTGGTGGTGATTTTCATTTAGTTCGTCCATTTATTTATGACGACCTCCGTGGCCGAGTGGTTTGTACGTCGGGTTTTAATGGGGTTGCCGACTCGAGAGGTCTCGGATTCGAATCCCGGTGAGGGCAGATGTTTGTGTGATGAATACGAGCATTTGTACTCCAGTCATGAAATCAGAAATCAATATAGCTTTATTCAAATTGGATGTATAGTACAACTCTTTTGAATCGTCCAAAAAAATTTTTTTTCCCTACCACTCGTTATGGACATATTTTTTAGCTGCGGAGAAAAACGAGCGAAAAAAACTCCACAACATTAAAAGTCTAATGTAACAACATTTACAAATCATTATGTTGTTACAACGTCAATACAATTATGATTTATTTAATATAGAAAACCTGTTGGAATGATTGGAACAGTTCAAACCCAAGCATTTTTGTCTGTAATATAATCAGACACTTTGTAATAAGCTTTTTTAATAAGTGTTTTTTTTATAATATCTTTAAATTTATTTATGGCTAACTCTTGGATATTGCTTGGGACTTTATTGTATAAGCGAACACAAAGACCTTTAAATGAATTATTAATTTTGTGAAGCCTAGTAGCAGGTAAAGTTAGTTTATTTTTGTTTCTTGTATTAATTGTGTGAACATCACTGTTTTTAAGAAACAAATTAATATTTTTTCTTACAAGTAATAAATTTTCGTATATGTATTGTGGACATGGGGATGTTTAACATGTATTTCTATATAAATATACTTATATATGTACAGTATATGTATTCTATCCGTCACCCTAGTATCCCATAACACAAGCCATGCAGTGCTTACTTTGGGGCTAGGCTAATTGGTGTGAGTGTCGGAAATATTTATTATTTATTTTATGGTCTTTGTACGCCACATACTATATCTACTATATAAAAATAAGTCGAGTTTTCCTTCCTGACGCTATAACTCCAGAACGCACGAACCGATTTCCACGGTTTTGCATTCGTTGGAAAGGTCTCGGGCTCCGTGAGGTTTATAGCAAAGAAAATTTAGGAAAAATTAAAAAAAAATCTTCTTTTAATCACCAAACGAAATGTTACATAAAACGAAGCCATCTGGTGGCGAAACGGAGTTCGCCGGGTTTGCTAGTTATTAATAAGGAATTCGTATCGAAAAGTGACACAGTTATGTCGTAATAAATAGTTATTAGCCAAAGTAGTAGCGGTCGAATAAGTAAACTATATAGGTTGAACATAAATCATTACAAGTGGTGTTAATAGGACCAGATAGGATATTTGGCTGTTCAGAGAAGCCAAAAAAAATGCCACTGCAAAATCATTTTTTTTAAACACTTATTTAATTATTACATTTTAAGTAAAGATGATGCGTGCGCTGTTCCATTCCCCTATGCCTTACCTAATCTTAGGTTATTTAACCCCCTTATCTTAGGTTATTTAATAAAAGAAGTTTCGCTTCAGACGTGTGGTCCGTGAACACATTTTTTTTTCACTTTTCAGGGACTTTTTTCTCTGCGGACAAAAGTAGCTCTTCTGCACAGGCATTCGGGCACGCAAACCGCATCATATCACAAATCGTTGCTAAAGTTGGTTAACTTTCATCATCATTGTCTTGACACGTAAACCGCTATTTGTAACGAAACATATTAATATATATATTATACTAGCTGACCCAGCGAACTTCGTACCGCCCTAAAAAAATAGGGGTTGTCCAGCGGACAAAATTGTGAATATAAACCATTCTCAGATCCCCTTGAACACACACAAAAAATTTCATCAAAATCGGTCCAGTCGTTTAAGAGAAGTTCAGTGACATACACACTCACAGAAGAATTATATATATAAAGATACTAGCTGACCCAGCGAACTTCGTACCGCCCTAAAAAAATAGGGGTTGTTCAGCGGACAAAATTGTGAATCTAAACCATTCTCAGATCCCCTTGAACACACACAAAAAATTTCATCAAAATCGGTCCAGTCGTTTAAGAGAAGTTCAGTGACATACACACTCACAGAAGAATTATATATATAAAGATACGGTAAATAGAATCCTTGACTTAACGATGACAATGTACTTTGATTGTTTCAAATACATAATTCTTTATTCACAAACAAATCGCTTTATAATGCTCGTTTTATTACTGATTAGTGAAGCATTTATGTAATACAATACTGTTTAAGCGCGAGTAAGACGAACGGTTCCGTACGATAGATATTTAGTTTATTATTTGTCGTATTTTTAACGTAGAATAGGAAAAATGAGTAGTTTTTGTTATATTATATTCAAATGATATGTGTAAGATAATTATATTCAAACTAGCGGCCCACCCTCGCTTCGCTTCGGTGTAGAGCTGAAGTGTAGACTACAGTTTTTGTTCTCAGGCTTGTATTATACAATGACATTCATCTATGAATCTTCTTATACCTGCATGCAAAGTCTCAGCCCGATCGGTTTAAAATTGAGAAAGTTTCATACAAACTTTCATTCCCTATTTTATCCCTTTGGAGGTAGAATTGATCAAAATCCTTTCTTAGCGGATGCCTACGTCATAACATCTACCTGCATGCCAAATTTTGGCCCGATCCGTCCAGTGGTTGGGGTTGTGCGTTGATAGATCACTATGTCAGTCAGTCAGTCACCTTTGAGTTTTATAATATACTAGCTGACTCGGCGAACTTCGTACCGCCCAAAAGTAATAATTTGCAATAAATTCGAATTGCGACTATAATTTGAGATTTAAACTATCCTATCTCTCAAGCTGGATCAAACTGCACATGGTGTGCGAATTTTATTATAATCGGTTAAGTGGTTTAGGAGTCCATTGAGGACAAACATTGTGACACGAGATTTATATATATTAAGATAGATTATTGTTTTCTTATTTGCAGCCATGACTTTCGACGTGCACACCACAAAAGAGATCCTGAACCCGAAGCAGGGAGGCGACATTACCTACATGGACATGATAGAGGAGAAGGATGGACTGGGAGAGTCGCAAATACAGAAGATGTTCGCTGGCTCCTCGGTTTTCCTCACGGGGGCCACCGGATTCTTGGGCAAACTTTTTGTCGAGAAGCTGCTGAGGTATGTCGTATTTCTTCTCTTTGCTTAAATGAATTTTGTATCGAAAGGGTTATGAAAGGACTAGAAGGCACCATCAGCCTATTAATGTCCCCACTGCTAGGGCACAGGCCTTCGCTATTGATGGAATAGGGAGATTGGGCCATGACCCACGGGCCCAGTGCGAATTGGCGGGTGCTGACGACGGCAGATGCAGCCGGGACCAGCGGTTTAACGCGCCTGCCGAATCACGGAGGAACTCGCGAAAGAAGATTTTTGGCACCCCATCCATTGACCGACCACTGCGAAAGTTGCTTAACTTCAACGATCGCAGCCGAATGCGCTTACCACCCGCGCTATCCAGCACCTCGTAAATAGATACACATAAACACAAATAGTTGCATATTGCAAAGGGTTTATCTAGTTTCAAAGCTAAGTGTCGCCGCACACGGGCCACACGCCACAGCCACAAACGCCGCCGCGAGAAGCTAGAAGCGGCTACTAAAGTGGCTGAAGCGCGCGACAGCGGCCGACTAAGGTAAGGGAGAGAGGGGTGGGGAATCGCGCGAGTAACGTGTGGCAGCGTTTTGTATCGGCGCATTAAGTGGCCGGTGCGGGCCACAAGAAGCGAGCAACGACGATTTGTAGCGTGCGGCGGCCACCGGCGTACCGTGTGTGGCGAGTCCATATAAAATGTATGAAAACTACAAGAAATATGCCGGTGGCGGCGTTTTCTGATTGTGGTCGGTGGCCCGTGTGCGGCGACACTAAAATGCAATTGTCGTTCAATATTTGTTGAGAAATATTCACACGACCATCAATAAGCAATAAAATGAACAACAATGTTTGTCATTTGTTTTATTATACAAAACAAAATTGAGGAAAACAAAAAGTGCCTGTGTAGTAAACTCATTTTATTTAAATGTTTTATGATCACATTACATTTAAATGAATGGTGTACGCAATCAGAATAATAACGGAAGGATGGTATGACTTAAAATGGAATATGTATCCAGTTTTAAAACATTTGTGCTGGGTACAGGTATTCCCCGTATAGAGAAATTGTGGCCTGAATTTCAATCTACTTAGAGAGATTGATAAATCTTTGATTGAAAGAGGTATAGATAATGTTTGTTTGTAGGAAAACATGTCTGGAATTACTGAATGGATTTTGATCTGAAGATTTACTGAATGGCTTATTGTTCTTACCGATGCTATCTAAGAGTACCTGATATACGAGTATATGTAAGTAGGTCATGTTACGTCTGCCTCATAACCATATCAGTATAACTAATACCAATAATAAGGTTAAAAAAGAGAATAGATAAGAAGAAAAACTAATAACAATGATATAAGTTTATGAATATTTTCAGAATTTCCAATATTGTTGCGTTACATAAAAGTAGTTATCATATAGGTAAATAAAACAAAATTTTATTTTAACGCGTCGTAATGACGACTCATTTCTGCAAAGGATGCGAAACGTCAATAAATAAAAAAACGATGGGTTGCACTCCGGGAGTGCCGGCAGAAGTGAAAACTTGAATAGTAACGTTGTACATTTTTGATATTTTGGAATGGTTAGGGAATAATTTTGCACGAATTTCTTTAATTATCAGTATAAAAGTACTATCATTTATGTGGTAGAATACAATATTTATTTATTGCGCTGTCGTACACAAACATGACAATTTATATTACATTAAAAAGTTTATCTCTCAGAATTACTCATTTAAGCGCACCTAGCGACATCTATTGTAAAAAATGCATTTTCTTCGCAATAAAGCTGCCACCTGGACGTCCTAGCAGACTTATTATTATAATACGATAAAATAAAATATTACTATGATTCGTCAAATATATTGAAAGTCAACAACCTTTCCAATTTTATTGTTTTCGTCTTACGAATTTTCAATTTTTAATACGATAAAATAAAATATTACTACTATGTTTCGTCCAATATATTGAAAGTCAACAACCTTTCCAACTTTATTGTGTGTCATGGTGCGATCAGCCCACGTGTTTAACCTGACGCGTGTTTAACATTTTTTACCCATACAAAAAAAAGTGTACAACGCCGCTAAAGAAGTTTTCACTTCAATAAATTCAGTACATCTAAACCGTTAAAAACTTGTTTTATTTAATGAGTGGTGTGCGTGAAAACCTAAGAAACAAATATCATATAGGTATCTTTTAAAACGTGGAGGGGAATGTTAATATGTATAAGAGGCTACAGTTTTGGCATTAAGCAGTGTATGATTTTTTGGAAAATTAAAGTTAATAAATGAGTAAAGAATGAAGAAACTAATTTTATTAAATAATAATGCATAAGAAATATTTCACTAACAACACAACACTAATTAAAGATTTTACACACACGCATAATATAGTTAGTTAGGTACTATGATTATCCTCATATTTCGTTCGAGATAAGTCTTGAAGAATTTGATATTTTTTTTGCCCTCAAAAAAAGAAAATTATTAGGTAAATGCATTTTATCGACTGTAAATAATCCTAATCAATTTATATTTACCAATCTACTTGATGATGACTCCATAATCTAAGGGTTAATAATCTAATCTAAACTGATTAAAATACAGAAATACATCGTAAATGTTAATAAGAGTCGTGAGAAAATGAATAAAAATAACCTTCGGATTATTAAGCACACATTGTATGCTTTACAGAGGTGACATGGGTTAACAGATTCATAATTAATTAAATAATTATTATGACCCAAAAATAACAACAACTTAAAATGAGGTAAGTACCTCATTGTAACTTATTTAATGTGTTTACTTGTTTATTTTTGTTTTATTTAAGAAGTGAGGAGCTGGCGCACAAAACGGTATCTTAAAAAAATCTCGTGTCACAATGTTAGTTACCACCATACTCCTCCGAAACGGCCTGACCGATTTTTATGAAATTTTGTATGCAAATTCCGTGGGTCTGAGAATCGGCTACTATCTATTTTTCATATCCTTAAGTGATAATGGTTGTCCACCTGTAACGTAGTGTTCTGAAACCTACAATGCGCCTTCGCGCCAAAATTCAAGCTATTGGGTATTGTGTGTTCTCATATGGGTTAGGAGGAATGTTATCCCAGGCAATTGATAGAACACTACATTACACACCCCTAAATTTTTTTGGACAATATTCATTTTTTTATAATGAGGTATTAAAAAAAATGGTAAATTAAAAAAATCAAAAAACCCGACTGCTTAATTATTCTTCAAATAAAAACTGAAAAGAAAAAAACAAGTCCTGTCTATAATTCTGTTAATAAGGAACAAAGCTACTTTAACAGTCGGGACCCATTAGATATTCAAGAATACATAATATTTTTCAACAGTAGTGCAATCATGGCAATTATTTTCCAAATTTTTTTTTGTTATAAAAATACCGAATAACGTATCACTGTTAAGCAAAAATGCTAAGTAACTTTTACAAATATAATCAAATAAACCTATTACTTACTTTATTTTAAAATCTTTTTTAGCAATTAAATACTTATCTTATCCTAACTATCTATACTAATATTATAAAGAGGCAAGATTTGTATGTTTGTAACAAAGAATCTGTCAAACTACTGAACCGGTTTCAAATATTAATTCATCATAAGGTAGCTACATTATTTATTATAACATTTTTCTTTATTTAAATACATTTTGTCCGAGTGACATAGGCTATATTTTATCCCGATAAATAAATTTCGCCCGTACAATGCCCGGGTGGATCACTAGTAAGTATAATATAATATTATAGATGCGAAAGTGAGTTTGTTTGTTGCGCTTCCGTGCCCTAATAGCTAAATCGAATATAATGAATTCCCATATAGAAGTAGATGGGAACTTGGTTCTTAGCTACAACATCGCAATACTTATAGGCGTAGGGTGATGAAAGGGGTGATTTACCTATAAAAATGTACATTATTTACTTTGAATTTTGCAGAATTATCACAAAACCAATATTATCGCGAGCTGATTAATAAATACAGCGATTCCAATAAGTATGTACTTACTAGCAAAAAATGGGTTATTTGTCATTATATTAAGTAAACCTTTTTTGTAACCTTAAGTAATATCGTTAAAAAATGAAAAACAGTAAAATTCTGAGTTTTTCATTAAAATTCAATAATCATAAATACCTATTATGATAATATATTTTTCATCATTTAATAAGAAGGAACTGTATCACAGTTTTAATGTTAGTACTTCGTATAGGATCAGATACTGCGAATACCCCATTTTTTTTTCTTATACATAGTACAACGCGCTATCACTTTGTCATCGTTGTAACTTTTTAAATATTTGTCGAAATGACATAGTGTAAAAAGCAAAGTTTATCGTCTTTAAATATAAAAAGCGATAAAAGTATTTCTTTTGATAAAAAATGATTTGTTAATACAAAATGTGCATTTTGGAAATAGATATCAAATAATATTTTAGTTTTGATTCACTATTTTAGCGGTAATGACTTACACATTAAAAATAGATATATGATGTCACGGACTTTTTTTAGAATTATTTAAGAGATACATTTCCACTCTACATTACATTCATGTAACTTTTATTGTTTTTGCAGTGCAGGCCAAAATGGCTCGCAGATGGGACATTTTTTTCCGTCTTATGTGACACTTATTGCTATATATTGGCCAATTCACTTAATAACTACATAAATTATTATATATATGTAATTATCATATATGAGTTATATTACTGTTTAGTTTCATTAAAATCCATTCAGTATTTTTGAAGTTATACTTCTTTAGGCGCGTTATGAAAAAATGATGAGAGTGAAATTTTAAGATGCGCGCGCATCACTGTAACACAAAATTTTAACAGCATGAAGTAGGTCGCTTTAGCGACCAACTTCATGCGTTACTTTTGTGTTTACCGCACATTAAGAAAATCTACCAACAAAATAGAATCTCTATTTATTAGTGGGTGCTAACGACTGGATTGTGAAGGCCTATCAAAAGTATCTATTAATCTGGAACAACGGAACCAAAGCGCGATTCAGGA